CTCCGGTAGTGAACCTCTCAAGGTGGCAATGTCATTCTGCAGCCGTTGCATAATAGCATGAGAAAGAAAACACCAGTCACTCTGCGGAGTAGAAGGTTGGAAGTTCCCTGTAATCTATCTACTCTTCAGAGTCAACTGCGAGCTACCAAAGGCGGAGGACCGGACTTCCAAAGAGCTCTCAAATACGAGAGGATTGAAGGTCGACTTATTGTCGACCTTCAACGAATGAGGAATTTGCATTCAAGCCCTCGTCCTTCTTGCCATTACGATGAGCGGTATCTCCGCCGCTCATCGGGTTGCAATTTACTCTGAGCAGTAGCTCTCTTCAGGACAAACAAAACCTACGAGCTGGAGAGTCGGATGACCATTGCGTTTTCAGCGAATATGAGTCGGGATTTTGCGATGTCTGATGCAATTGCAATTCCCACCTTTTTCTCAGCCAATTTGACTTGGGCGTCTCTCATCTTGGCATCTTCCGCGACAGCCTCGCGAAGTTCTCCCTGACTCAATATCTCAGCTTGCGAATCCAACCATGAGAAACCTACCTGTGCGTGATCAATTTTAGTGTTCATGTCCTCGACTTCGTCGCAAAGACGGCCCTCCTCTTGGGATAGGATTTCCAGCTGTGCCTTTAGACTGCGAGCTCCTTCATAGTCCTAGCAAAAGCAGCAATCCTGCGATACACGTCAAATCCGCACCGGGTGAGCCCCTCACACTTTCCCAAGCATTTCCAGCAGGTGCTTCTTATCCTTCGTCTCGGCCATCAGCTCCTTCCTACACTTCTCAATCGATTCTAGCGCCTTCGTATACCTGCCAATACATACCACCTAGCAAGATCTGAAATTTCGATCGAGCCGTCTTCACCTAGCCGATCCGAATATATCATCGAACTTCTTTTTCAGAGCCGCTTTGTCCGCTAGAGGCCAATTACTGTCTTCCTGGTGACAGAATATGACATTTTCCAAAACCTGGCGGTTTCGAGATGGGCGCGCGAGCCAGTTCTCGTCTTACTGCTTTGGGAACGCCCATGAGCTGAGGGATGAGTAGGTCCATATCAGCGCACTTCTTAGTGATAGTCTGAGTTGGAGCTCCATTCTCT